CAATTTAATGTGCACTATTTCTGGCAGTCTGCAAAGGCCTTGAGTGAATTCAGTTTATTAAATGTCTGTGTGGAAACCATGGGCTCCAAGACTGAGCTCCATGACTTTTGCAAAGAAATAGACATGATGTAGCATTGTTAAGCATTCTGACTCCTCCATGGAAGGGCAGGCATACATTACAATATTTATCACTATAAACAATAACAACAAATCAATGCAACCAGAAATGAAAAGACAAAATAATGACACAGTCAGCCAAGCAGCGCAAACATTGATTTTATATTTAGTTCTATCCAAAAATGATTACACAATATCCCTTTAATAGCATAATTGTCTTAAAGAGATGAGACCCAGAATGTTTGTTGATGTGATGATGGACCACACAGTCTTGCTTGGTTATTGATGAAATAAAAAGTTACTAAACTGTTGCAAATGTGTCCTTTTTTCAGTTCCTCTCTAGCTATTTGGATTCTACAAATCTGCTTTTCTGATCTGAGCAACTCCCCACACTTTTCCATTTCCCCTTTCAAAAATGTATAATAATAATAATGAAGCCCCTCAGTGGTGTAACTCTTAATGAGTTATTTTCTTCAAAAATATTATTACTCTATTCCAAATAATTACTACTTTGGCACAACACAACCACGTATAATATATTGTCCAAATTGCACCATAGCCTGCCAGCAATACATGTTACTATTAATTTTGAGATTTAACTTGTGCTAAATGGTCCCAGGTGGTGATTTTGGTGGCAAAACCCTTGCGATAAGGTCCGGATGCCGCCTGCTGGATCAGGTAAACCAGCTTATTTAAATGTGTGATAATCTTCAATATCAGAATGTCGCCTGATTTAAATTTTAAACCGGATCAGGTAAGCCGTATTATTTAAGAATGCAATAAGCTTCTTGCTGCTCGAAGTTGGTTTGCAAGTTACAGATAGGCTTGTTTAATAACACATAGCACAAGTGAGTGACTCATGCTTTTCCAAATTGCCAACAATATATCAAGAGGTGCTCAATGCAACATAATCTCCTAGCCAGGACTGTCCACTATCAGCTGAGATACTCCCACACTGTTCATCATTTTCCATTCTTCCTCCCCTTTCTGCTTTTATAGGGAATGCTAGAGGCAGCCAATTGCTGAATATTTGGGCTATTTATTTAAATGATTTATTTCCTGCCTTTCTCACAGATAGGACGAGAGACTTTACCATTCATATTGAATAATAAACTGGACTATAAAAGAAGGCTGTGGATCCTCAGTATGCTTACTTGTAGATAAACACCAGCACAATCAACAGAGCTTGCTCCAGATGAAAGAGAGTGAGAACAGTAGTGTGAAAGAACCTTGATTTCTTTTTTTAAGGCATCTAACATGGGGACAAACCACCCCAACCCCAAATGTACTATGCCACCACATATTGTCCCAATACTTTTCTACTGTCCCTGTTGCTCTTTTTCTTCTCATTTTCTATCCCACTACTTTCCAGTTTACCAGTATAAAACTCTCTTTGCAACCTTTTTCTTAAATATGTTTGGGGACAAGAGCCTGCATCAAGAGACATAGCTACAGGGATTCAGCTACATCTCCATAGCTACGCCTCCCAATGCTACCCCAAACCTACTTTTCCAGCAGTGCATCTCCTCTATAGCTGCTGTCCTGAAGAAATAATGCCACTTGACACTGCTTTAACTGCCATGGCTCAATGCTATGGGATCCTGGGATTTGTAGTTGGGGTAGGTTTGGGGTGCATCCATCTATAGGAAGATAGCTGGAGACATCTCTGCTCACCCCCCTGCTCTTTGGCAACATAGAAATGGCCGTGTTGTGGGAAAGTGTGTGCTGAAAATGTACATTTTGCAGGAACTTTTGTGCATGAATTGTGATGTTGTAAGACGACAGGAATGTGGTGGCTTAGTGGTTAAGACACCAATTCCGACAATCATAAAGTCGGATGGTTGGCAGTTCGAGGCCCGGGTGCTGCATGATGGGGTGAGCTCCTGTCACTAGTCCCAGCTTCTGCCAACCTAGCAGTTCAAAAACATGCAAATGCAAGTAAATCTCAAAACTTTGATGGGAAGGTAAACAGCATTCTGTGCAGTCATGCTGGCCATATGATCACAGAGTAGTCTCTGACAATACTGGCTCTTCGGCTTAGTAACAGAGATGAGCATCACTCCCTACAGTCAGTTATAAGTAAGACAGACTTACACCATCAAAAGTAATGAACAGATGGCAGCTATGTTTTAAAAACAAGTGTAACTGGCTGCATGGAATGGTGTCAGACTCAGGCTTTTAAGGAGGGATAGAATGGCTATCTGTCAGGGATGCTTTACTTGTAAATATTTTGTGTTGACAGGGTTTTGGACTAACTGTCCTGTGGAGTCCCTCCCAGTTCTAACAATTTTCTTCTTCTGTGATGTGCAGTCATTTGAAAAAAATCAGCAGTAATTACTGTGAGTCATGTCAGAAACAGAATCAATGACCATCAGGTAACTATGTATTTGCATTCTTAATCATCCCCCAGAGGAAAAAAGAGAGAGTAGTGTTATTTTTCCTTGATTTCATTTCTTTGAGTTTTGTTCTTCCTAATGTGTAGGTACGGGCATATAGATTAGTATTTTTTTGCTTTGTTTGTAATCTCCATATTGGTTGTGAGTTTTGGAATTTGTAGTAAAAAAATAAAAGCCCTTTTTGTTTTCCCACACTCTGCTGTCAGAGTAGCAACGGAAGTAAGGTTCAGCAAAGTGATTGAAAAGATATGTTTATACAGGAATATACAGTGAGTCCTTGGTATCCACCATGGTTTGGTTCCAGGATGCCCTGTGGATATCAACATCCATGGATGCTGAAGTCCTGTTAAATACAATGGCATAGTAAAATGGCATCCCTTATCTAAAATGGCAATTTTTTTTTTTTTTGGAATTTATAGATATTTTAAAATATTTTCAAGCTATGGATGCTTGAATGTGTGGATAAAGAATCCATGGATATGGAAGGCTGACTGTACATGAGTGATATGATTTGCTGATTTTAAATGTTTTGTTAAAATTAATTTTAAGGATTTTTTTGGCCTAATGGCCACAAACGTAACACATTAAAAAGTCAGAATAGTATATAAAACACTACAATAACAATTACAAATAATTGGGGTTTTTAAAAGTTATATTCAATTATATAGGAGGCTGAAACTTTCATAAAAGTGGGAGCTAGAACAAGTGATTCAAGCCATCATTTTAAAACAACAGCAACAACAACAACAAAATAATCCAAAGCAGCATCTGCACTCCAAAAATAATGCAGTTTGACACTGCTTTAACTGTCATAGCTCAATTTGGGATTTGTCATTTTGTGAGATATTTAGCCTTCTCTGTCAGAAAGCTCTGGTGCCGCAATGAACTACAAATCCCAGGATCCCATAGCATTGAGCCATGGCAGTTAAAGCAGTGTCAAGTGGCATTATTTCTTCAGGACAGATGCAGCCAACATCCACTATAAGGAGGACAGACAGGAAACCATACAACTCTTAAGAGAAGGAACATCCAAAGCTTAAGTGCTGCTGCAGAGTGTCCTGTCATTATCAGCCTAACATTGGACAGATGCAGAACATTTAATGGCAAAGTGAATTTAGCTCTGAAAGAAATTATGGATATTTTAAGTCTTCCTCTGTTCATCTCTGCCAGTGTTCCAATATAAGGATGACCATCTCTCCTGTTCCAAAGTTGACATGGAATCAGTTATATTTGCTGCATTTTGGGGGTATGACTGTACAAATGGGAGAAAAACTTTGAGAACAAGGTACTGTGGGATTTCATCTTGGCCACCCAATGTTTTGGTTTAGTGTCTTTAAAGGAAGCTACACATTCCTTCCTCTAAGAGTTTAGGAAAGTTACATTATGGACTAAATTCCCAGAATCACAGAAAACTAGAATTCCCAGAGTCCAACATTCCTGCTACCTAAGTGATTCTGGAAATTGTAGTTAAAAAAAAGCCAACCTCAATCATTTTCTAAACTCTGGTTTCTCCATAGTGTCACTTTAATACTAGAGATCAGGGCCTGAATCCTACTGGTAGTTCCAACTAGAGTAGACCCATTACAACAATTGTTGAATGTTGAATCAACATGTATGAAAATCCCATTGATTCAATGGATCCATTCTTGTTGGAACTGACAATATAATTTATGGCCATTTGTCACAGGTGGAATATTTCAAGTAGAGAACACTAATAGTGTAATATTTGAGACAAGACTTTCCTTTTCATGCCATAATTCACACATCTCTAGATCTTTGCTATACCCCTCTTGGTATATAACAACATTATTTGCCCTGCTTTAGATGCTCCATATGCCTGTTAAAAAACAAAAATAATCTGTTGTGATTTTGGTCTCTGTGGAGGACTGACTAATAAAGAAAACAGAGACATAGGAGATTATCACACCAGCTGTTTTCTCCTGATCTAGGCATGGGCTGAGACCATGTCAAAATGGATGTTATCACACAGCTTCAGGCCCAGATTGGAGGCATCCTGTAGCCAATCGGGACTTCTCCTGTACCAAACAAAAAATTGTTCTTTTCTGTTCATTGAAGTCCTGACTGGATTGCAAA